TCTAAGACCGAGATCATAGAGAATAATATCCACTGGTTAGTTGCAGGATAGATTGTCTCAGAGGACTCTTCTGTTGCAGTGCACCCACAGCTACGCCCCTTTCATGCCAACCAACTGGAACCCAGAGCTACAGCCAGCTTCCAAAAACCTCACTCATTAAGGCTGCTGTTGACATGTGCCGCTCTATAGGGTGTTAGATCCAGCAGGAAGTGGAGCGAGCCAGCATACAGCTAATGTTTGTGGTACAGCCATGTATTGTGAGGCACATCAGAGAAAATGTTTGTGACCTATGAAATTCATATTGCAGTATGCCTTCATTTGGGCCGCAGTGTTAAGCTAACGTAGCCTATCCAAGCTATTAAAGTGGCTCCATTTGCATAACCCAGGGTGCGCTTAGCTGTGGGTCAGCCGAAGCTAATAAACGGTGAGAGTGTGACGGCTGGCAACAGAAGAGCCCTTTCAACCCATGTTGTACCCCTTAATCCCCTCCCACTCCTCCATCACACCTCCCCCCACCTACCCTCCCCCACACCCCTGGCCTGTGCACGGGATTGTAGCGCTGCTCAGACTAACATGCGCCCCCCCCCCCCCACCCCCCTCCCTTGGTGTTTGCATGCAGTCATTGCATCCAGCAGATCCTGGAGGCGGTGCTTCACTGCCATCAAATGGGCGTGGTGCACCGGGACCTGAAGGTGAGTGATGGGGATCATCTTGCTGTCCCTTTAGAGTGTGCTTAAATATTTGTGTAAGTGGGGGGGGGTTGTTGGTGTGGGTGTGTTTTATGTGTCGTCTGTGCAAGTCTGATAAGTATATGAGAATCTGTAATGTCTGTGGACATAATGTCACTTGCAAAGCCTCAGGACTTAGAGAAGATTTTGAATCATCATATTCTGATACATAAACAGTTGCTGTCGTCTGCTTATGCCTGCACAATAGTTGCACAGTTAGAGATAGGCCAAAGATCCTTTCCCCAGAGACAGAACAGTCCCTACGGCCTCGTGGCCATCACCTCAAGACTGTCAAATACCACCTCCGACCTTTCTCTGGCTCTGCCCTGCCATACACAGCCTCCAGCTCTGTGTAGTCACCTTCCTTTCCTGTTGTGTGAACACCACTTCCCAAGGTCTGTGGAGACTTAAAGCATGTAACGCTGGTCATGCTGGCTGACCAGTGCCGCTGCTCTGTAACCTTTTTGGAACAGGACCTTGTCATTGCACAACTAGCCCATTCCTTTTGTCTACGGATCCACATAAGATGGCCCAGGAGGAAACTTAATCTGACCTCTGGTTCATTTACTAGTCAGAAAAATATGTTAACTATTGATTATGAGACACCCCATGTGGTTTAGATTGCCTGTATAGATGTGTTAATTACCCTCAGTGCTTCAAATATGACAGCTCATTTTCTGTAAGCTGCCATCAATTGTCTTGTGATGTTGTGACATTTATTTATATTGGCTAGCTGGCTGGTAGCGCAGTCTTTTTTTAGGCTTGGACACAGAGACAGTCGCTACTTTTGAACTTGTACCAACTTTCTTAGAACTGTTGTATTGCTTAATAGAAGTATTTTGTAGACGTCTGTACACATGCCATATGGTTCAGTGAAGTTATGCTCTTAAAGGGGTAGTTCACATTTCTTGAAGTGGGGTTGTGTGAGGTACTTGATCATAGTCAGTGTTTTACATACAGTAGATGGCGGTCTGGAGAAGCAGACCGGGGGTAATGCCCCAGAAGCTAAGCAGTGTATCGCTGTGGACAAGGGCAGCAGCAAAATGTATTTTTGCCACCAAGTGTTGGCTATATTTAGAACATTTTAACCACTCTATGTTGCCGTCAGACATTTCTGACAGGAAACCGAAGCCATTTTATCCATCTGTGCTCTTTTTGAAGCCACCAAACTCCATTGACAAATACAGTGATTTCATCTTACATAACATGAAGCTTGAGAAGTTAGTATACCTGTGTTATTGTGTGACTTTGGTGACTTCAAATTAAAACACCAATATAGGTAATACAATGACTATGGATAGGCACCTCATTAAACCCCGCTTTAAAAAATCTGAACTATCCCTTTAAGGATTTTGCTGAGCTTGGAATGCATTTTCAGTGAGATCGTTCAACAAGCTGCCGCCTTGTTTAATGTGATTGCTGACTGTGAACTGCCTAACAACTAAACTGAAGTTTTGCTTAGGTCTGTAGCTGTTTAAATTTGGCATAATGCTGTGCTTGTGTAAAAGTTAAAGCAGCTCCTCAAACACGACGAGCTGTGTGGGAATCAGCGTCTAAACAGACAGAAATCAAACCGCTTTCAGTCCTCTCGCTGTCATGTCTCGTACCTGGTTGTCTTTTTTTGTACGTGCATGCTTGTTTGTCACATCTTGTTTTGCATGATGCACTTTGTCGAGCAGACCTCCTCTATGCAAATGTCAGTCCCAGCATTCCAGCTAAGGCGCGTTGTGTTTATCAGAACTGTTGTGGCCATTTCTTTATTTAGCCGACACGCCTATCTGGTTTCACACCCAAGCATCGGGGAGCATTTCATGCAATAGGTCATAGTGTGATGACTGAGGACAGCTTGGTGACAAGATCCCTCAAATTAGGAATTGGGTTATGCCAAATGAGATGAAAACACAGCAAACAAGTGTGTGTGTGCCAGTCCTGTATTGTTGAGACTGTGCAGCAAATATTCTAACGTTTTTTGTTTTTTGTTCTCAGAAATCAAAAGTATATTGCCTTTCAGGTTATATGTCAATCTTGAAGGCAGTATTTTCAGCCTTTAGACACATGTAATGCATGTAATGAAAATTGCATGAATAGATAGAAAGGATATGTTAAAACAATACTTTAATTAGGGCTGGAAATCAAAGTGAAACGTGTCTGTAACACAGACATATTTATGTATTTTACAATCAAAGTTAAATCAAACATTTTCCTACTTTAGACCGTGTCATGCCACCAGATTTGAGGCAAGGTATTAGATGAAGGATTTGGTAGATAAAGACAGAGTTTTACTTTAAGGTGTTTCTTTCAGGTGTCTGGTTGGTATTAGTATAAAAAAAATCAAACTTTACCTTGCCCTGACTTTATGAATTACTTAATTCCTTTAAGTTATGGTAAAATGAGTGCGAGCCAGTTTCTCTTCCCATACTACAGTCTGCTTGAATCCTCTTAAATGAGGTCTACATCCCTGCCACTTTCTCTGAAAGACTTAGTGAGGAATCCCTCAGCAGCTCCAGAAGAAAGAAAGATGGGAATCATTTTATATGAAACACCCACTCGTGAACTGCTCTCGATTACAGCTTTCTGTCGTCCACATACCCTCCCTCTCAAACTAGTTGCTAGTTATCCCTGTGCTCAGCTGTGTGCATGTCTAAGTGTATGTGTGTGTGTGCCAAAGAGATGGAGAGGGAAGGAGCGCTTCCATCAAAAGCGGTGGCGACTGCTGCTGTTCTGTCTGAACATGTGGCCTGGATGTTTATGCACCTTTTCGATGGAAGCGCATGCTTCATCAGAATTTCCACCCACATCCGTTTTCACGGATTATCTTCCTGCTGCAGTGTTGGCAAGTTCTAACTCCCCTCGTTTACAAAAGAGTAAAGCCTAACCAAGTGGTAGAGCTGTGAGAAAATGATGACACGAAGTAGGCACAGCGCCTCAGGATTACTGCTGCGCTCACTCACGGTCTCTCTCTCTTGCTCATTTCCTTTTCTTTTACTTATGGGGCTCAAAGGCTATAAAAGCACACTTTTAAGTATCTGCGCTTTAAATACACAGTATTCCTGCGCCTCTAAACAAATTAGCTGAGGGGAGAGAGCGGAGGGAGGAAGGCAGAGGGTGCAAAGACACACGCTGCTGCAGTGCAGGGGAGGCAGTGACAGAAATGCAACCTAAATATAATGTCCTCATTCTCGCCATGCTGTAAGTTTGCACTTGTGGTGCTGCTCGCTGAGGTACATTTCAGGAAACAACTACACAAGCTAATTGGAAGAGAATGAAGGCTTTGGAACTTTAGTCCCGCGTACAACTAACAGCGTTACTGCTGACATTGTTATATTTAACCAAAACAGTAGTAGAATTACAAGAGTGCACCCGACCCTAATACAAGCAGCTCCAGAGAGGCAGGAATAGTTTTACTGGTAGGTTCAAACCTTAAATGGGCAGAACCAAAGAACTGAACTTATTTGTTTCGATGTGATGTTAGACGAGAGTTCAGTGAAGGAGGTTAGAGTAGTGTCATACAAAGCGTAGCGCTCTTGCCATCAACAATGCAATCTTGCCATGCGAAGATCTTCTGGTTACCTTGTTAGCCTAGCTGACCTCCTGAACTCTAAGTAGTCACATTAGCTTATACTTGTGCAATGTGTTTGTTACCCTGTTAGCTAGCTTGGTGACATCACGAGCACACTGGACATGAGTTAATTAAAAGAAAAAGTTTGCATTTTGTATTAATATTTCCCACCAGAGTGCTTTATTTGTCATTCAAGATTGCCAGTTGCTCTCACAGAGACAACGATTAAGTGAGAGCTGAGAGAGACGTAGAGAGACAAAATGAGAGAGCAGGGGGCCAGTGGGGATAGCAGCCCATTATTAGAGCCCTCTTCTGACAGAGAATAATGAGGCTGACTGCATTATCTGGGCCACAGCGATGGAGCCTATAGACCACGGCGCACCACATGAGGCTAACACAAAAAAGCACTGCAGACTGACGAGGTTCCGTGAACACATGAAGCTATACAGTACAGTAAAAGTTAGTCCACAGAGTTATTGAACTCACTTTTATTGTATAGCTTTTGTGTGTCCGCACAAGTGATCTGTGTGTACCTGTGTTTTGTGTGAGTGTGAGTACAGTGTTAAGAATGTTCATTGTGAACCCAGTTACAAACTGCATGCATAGCTGTCTACCTCCAGCTCTTCCCCCACTAGGACACTGTATGTTATGTACCTCCATCCTTCATTACAAACTGTTTGATAACCTTATTTCTCTCCTTTCCCCAACTGTAGCCAGAGAACCTGCTCCTAGCAAGCAAATGTAAGAATGCCGCAGTGAAGCTGGCCGACTTTGGCCTGGCCATCGAGGTGCAGGGGGATCAGCAGGCCTGGTTTGGTAGGTGCATGAGTTAATCACATCTGTACTTATTATATACATATCTAAACCTATGACGGGTTTCATTCAACGGGTTTGTTAAACGCTTGAGAAAGGAATAAAGACCTAAGGATAAAAAAAGAGAGTAATGTAGTGACTTAGGAGGGTCCACCCGACAGAAAGAGAGTGACTGATGTTATTAGAAAATATTCTATACGTAGATAAATCTATATATGATATATAAAAGGCTCAAAAAAGATGTATGCCCCAGATTATGTAAGCATAAACTGACCACACATAGGTAGGCTAATGGGCCTTTTCCACGCCGAGTAAAGCCATGCCGCACTGATTTGAGTTTCCATTATCCGTTAAGATGTGCCATGCCTCGCCGAGCTGTAGCAGAGATGGACCTTCTCCAGAGTAGGTCCTAAAACCAGGCCGCCCGCCCTCAAGTGGTTAGCTGTGACGTCTCGTTGACCACAGCGAACGCCCAACGACAACCGCTTCTCCCCCTCAAACAAGCGTGTGTGTTGCGAGACTCTCCTCACCTCTGTCTGCAGGTGTAGCTTCGAACTGAATCTCTGTGGTTTGGAGTTTAGTTTCCCTCATTTGTCCTGTTTTTACTTTAGATATCTGCTTTATTTTACTGTTTCATGTTCGCTATCCGACATGTTAGAAGTTGTGTCAAGTTGCTGCTCGAAAACTCAACATTTCCTTCTTTGCTGCTTCACAATAAAAGTTTATACATAACAAAATAACAGTGGACTTTTATTGTGAAGAATCTATAGGAAATTAAATGTGTTATTACTAAATTAGTGGAACTTATTAGCGGCTTTTCTTCAATAAAGGCAAGTCTAATTATACAGCAGGGAGGAAAGTGAAAGCAGAAACAACCACAGTGAGATGTTGATGAAGAGCTGCAGACAACAGGCTCTTACTGCACCTCTGCAAACAGCTCACCTCCAGCAGGTAAACTTCTTTTACCTGCCCTGCTGCGTGATGGAAAAACACATGCAGCAAAAATAACGGGACTTTAGGCGTGGATTAGCACTCTGCTTTTAAACGTCATCACCCAAGCGAAGCCATCATCAGTTACAGACACACCTTCAAGACGGTAGCCCTGTTGTAATGGAAATGCAAATCCCTGCTGTGCTGGGCTGACAGCCCAAACCAAACCAAGCCAAGCCAAGCCAAGCCAGCCCATGACTGTCGAAAAAGAGCTACGTATAAGCCTGACCCCTACCTGGGCATTTATTTCAGAAGCCATTCTTACGTTATTTCCTATCAGGGATGTCAAACTCTGCATATAGAGGTCCAGAATAGTTTTTGTTAGTACATGGAGATTAAGTTTGAATTTCTCAGATAGCACTGTTGAGGCACACTTCCACATCTCACCTGGATCTCTTCTGCAGACATCTGTACCCATCAGCAGTGGAGTCTGTGGCTTCCCTCAAGAGATTTGCCAGTAAATCACAATCAACTGACCTTAAAGCCTCAAATCTGTCTTTAAGATCTCTAAGTCATAGCTTACGGAAGATTAACTTGCTTTCTATACAAGCTGATCCAAAGATAGCAGATACACAATCTGCTGCCGTGAGCTTATCAATCAATTGTGTATGTGCGTGTGTGTGTTTGTGTGTTTACTGCAGGATTTGCCGGCACACCGGGGTACCTGTCCCCTGAGGTATTGAGGAAGGAGGCATATGGTAAACCTGTGGACATCTGGGCCTGCGGTGAGTTGTACAGAGAGACACACAGTTACTCACACACTTCACACACATATGGCATTTCCTAGATAATTGTACACAAAAACACACACTGAAACACATTTTATAACAAATTGTGCATTTTTTGTGTGTCTGTGTGTCCATATGTGTTTTTGCGTGTGTCTCAGGGGTGATCCTCTACATCCTGCTGGTGGGTTACCCTCCTTTCTGGGACGAGGACCAGCACAAGCTGTACCAGCAGATCAAGGCTGGGGCTTACGATGTGAGTCTCCTCTCCTCTCCTCGTTCTTGCTCTCTTATGTCTCCCCTCCTGCTGTAATGCCCTCCCCTCTCCTCCCACTGCCCTCGTTCCTTTTTGGCAGCGGTTACGTAACTCAGTCACCTCATTCATATTTCAGGGGGTGCAAGAGAGGGAGCCTCACCTTAGATCACATTTAAGTCCATGCCAAATAGAGAGAGAGGCTGTCTGACTCTCTGGCAGAGATTCTGGGCTCATAGGACACAGACCTCGACATTTATGCCTAAACACAACAGGACCTGATGGGTTTAGAGTTCCTTGACAAAATGCTCGGGGCTGTGCTTGGACTGGCCTTCTGATATTGTTGGAAAACACACCCGCAGGAGGCCACAGTGGCTGTGATGTTGAAGGTAACAGACGGCATCCTGGGTCCATATCTGGCCTGTGACCTGTGTGTTCTTTGTTATTCTCTCTCTCTACGCTTGTGTTTACTTTAAAGCTATCCAACAAATAATTCAGCTTGTTTTTCACACATAGTGCTGAATTCAATATGCAAGATATGAAAATCTCAAAGGAGAATTCAAGCTCATCAGACACTGACCATGTTTACATGGACAGAATATGCCAGTTTTTGCCCTTCCTACCCAAGAGTATTTGGTGAAAAAACTACTCAAGTACTGAGTAACTGTTGAGTGACGTCTGATTTATTTGTAAAATAAGAACATGAACGTAATCAATCAATCAAAAATAATAATCTGCAAATTCATGTATTTTAAACGATACCCCTTTAACTAAAACAAAAATAAATTAAATCTTTACAAACATAACATAAATCAAAGCACAAGAAACACAAATATATTCTTATATATACTGTACATACATACATACATATATATATGTGTGTGTGTGTGTGTGTGTGTGTGTAATTATGTACTCAGAGGTGGGTAGAGTAGCCAAATGTTGTACTCAAGTAAGAGTATTGTTGCTTTAAAACAATATAACTCAAGTAAAAGAAAAAAATATTTTGCATTAAAACTACTCTGAAAAGTACAATTTATCCAAAAAGTTACTCAAGTAAATGTAACTGAGTAAATGTAACTAGTTACTACCCACCTCTGCACGCAATTGGATAGCACGATAGCCAATCAGAGCAAAAAACAAGGTGACGTATTCATTGCAGTAAGCCCCATTGGATTGCCAAACAGTGGGGCTAACTGATATATTATGCTTTTGCCGTATCCCGTCAGCAAAACAGCAAAAACGTCCTTCCTGGAAACGAAGGCTTGTAGGGCAGTCTTCTGTTCCTCTCTCAAGGAAAAATATAAGTGTAGTTGGCTTAGCGTTTCTTCCAAAGCTAAATTGTATGGACGCGGTCCTTCGGCAGCTGCCATCTTGGCTGACTCCTACGGCGCAGCGCTGTCGTCATCATGTTACGCCCGATAGACTCATCTGATTGGTCCGATGGCGATTCACCGGGCTCTGCTCGTCGGGGCCAGATTCCCGTGCAGAGCAAATTCGAATTTGCTAGGGGTGGGGCATCTGGATTTCCAGGTTACTGTCATCCAATCCATTGCTTCAAAATGTGATTTTTTTCAGAGTTTTCCACTGACAACAGACTTGTTCGCCTGTTCAAACACAACTTCCTTCTTATTATTCTTCAACTACCTTCTTAAAACGCCTTTTGCATATATGCAAATACCTGTTGGTGTCCAAGTCTTTCATTTTCTGACCAGAAATGTAGGATTTACTCTTGAGCATTTATTTGTGTGTGTCGCAAGCTGCAGTAAAACCTCCAGTTGAGAAGCAAATTCCAAATGTGCTGTATACATATCGAAAGAACGCCTAAAAGAATCAATTATTATCTTAAACATTTAAGTATGTGAAATGAAAAAAAATTGTGGAAGTGCTCATTGCAATTTCCCAATGCATTGTCTTCAGATTACGTCCAAAACTCAAAGATATTGAAGTCCCGATGTGATCTCAAAGATTGGTATCGGGGGCAATCAAGCCATTCTGACTGACTGGGATCAGTTATATTGAGCTATATAGAGCCTGATCCAGTCCTTACATCAGCTGTCTCACAGGGGTTTTTTCCATAAAGCTAGAATGCAGGAAGGCGGAGTGCAGCCGCCGTCAGCTCTCCAGCTTTCTGCTGTCTGTCTCCATGTGTGTACAGTAAGAGCAGGGACTGAGCCCCGCCCTTGGAAAAACGCCACACACCGTAAACAATTAATGGGGTATGAGACCATGTGAGCAAAAATTTAATGACTCAGATTGGGATTGGAACTGAATCGGGGCATTCCTGTATTTAATTTGCATTGATACGATGCAGAGTAAAGCAGCAAATTTTCACATTCAAGAAGCTGTAACTGCTAAACGTTTGACTGAAACAGTTAACCAGTTATCAAATAATTGCTGATTAATTCTTTGTCAATCATTGAATCGATAAATCAACTAACAGTTTCGTCTCTACACAGAATTATAAGACATGTGGCTCTGTTTGCCCCAGTTTCCTTCCCCAGAGTGGGACACAGTCACCCCAGAGGCCAAAAACCTGATCAACCAGATGCTGACCATCAACCCAGCCAAGAGGATCACTGCTCAGGAGGCCCTCAAGCACCCATGGGTCTGCGTAAGTGTCCCCTGCTTTAGATAGACGGCAGTTGCTTTTCACACATCTTGTTACACAACTACTCGATCAAACAAGAACAGAAACATGAATTAACTGATTTCTTCTTGTCTCTTTCTTCCTCCTCTCCCTAAACCTGCCTCTGTTTGTCCTCCTCTTCCTCTTCTTCTCCTTCCTTCTCCCAGCAACGGTCCACAGTGGCGTCTATGATGCACAGACAGGAGACCGTGGAGTGCCTGAAGAAATTCAATGCCAGGAGGAAACTCAAGGTGTGTTTGCATTCTCTCCCACATCTTCCTCTTTTGCTTCATTAAGCTCTCACACGGGATAAAATAACCCTTTAACTTAACCTTATTTTTCCAACCAAAGTATTGCCAAGCGTGTTTTTTGCACTTTTCACTGTTGTTGTATGAAAAAGCAGCAAGAATTAAGATTTCGATTGATCCGACATGCACGGTTTCCCCTCTACGATGATTTAGTGCTGACATTCTGTGTGGATACGACAGCTTAGCCACTGGAGCATGCCACTGTTACCCTGCTGCTTTTGGCCAGTCTTGGCATGGCTTAATTACCAGCACATGGGAAACTGGAAGCAGAAACGCAGGTGGCTGCAGACAAATGTTGGACCATTCAACCAACATGCCACCAGCATGAACCAATTGTCTCTGGCTTTTTGCATTCAAGAAGAAATGCACACTGGCGAGGTCAGACTTCAGTTACATATTAAACAACAAAAAAGATAAAATCATTAATTATAAAGTCAGCAAGCAACACTGAAAATTCAGACAGGGAATCGATTAATTCAACATATCAACATAAAAATGTACCTGTCATTTTGATTGTTGTTACACGAACTCCACACTAATCATTTTGTCAGCAAATCAAAACATGAAAAATCACCTCTTGAATATCAAAATTGCACAACACATTACATTATAAAAGAAAATCAGCCAGAGGGCCTTGAAGTGCCGGAAACACCGCTGCACAAAAGTTTGGAATGTTTTTATTCTTTTCTTCGATAATTGCTATTTTAACATAAAAACAGTTGAATTCAGACACCAAATGTATAACTTGCATGTGGAATAGTTTTGGCCCTGACAAAAGAATTTAGTTGATGTCCCCACTGTGTTGCTTGACAGGGGAGAATACGGAGTGAATTTTGATTTTGAATCTGTTTTCCAGTCCAGAAGGGTGTCAGTGACCCTCGATCATTAATGAATCACAGCAGTGCAACTGGGCTTTAAATATTCAGGGGAGGTTGTTCTTCTTAGGGCCCTCCGTAGTCCACACGGTGGTTACGTGAAAAAGGTTTAAACTGTGATTTGTCAGTCCATAGTCTATTCATCTGATATTCCAACAGTGCTAACCTGAGACTAACATCCTGTTTCTGTTGTAAAGTTTGAAGAATACACTCACCAGCCACTTTATTAGGAACACCTCTTCAGCTAATCAGCCAATCACGTGGCAGCAACTCAATGCATTTAGGCATTTAGACATGGTCAAGACGACCTGCTGAAGTGCAAACTGAGCATCAGAATGGGGAAGAAAGGTGATTTAAGTGACTTTGAATGTGGCATGGTTGTTGGTGCCAGACAGGCTGGTCTGAGTATTTTAGAAACTGCTGATCTACTGGGATTTTCACACTCAACCTTGTTGATGCCAGAGGTCAGAGGTCAGAGGAGAATGGCCAGACTGGTTCAAGATGATAGAAAGGCAACAGGAAGTCAAATAACCACTGGTTCCAACCAAGGTCTGCAGAAGACCATCTCTGAACCAACAACAAGTCCAACCTTGAAGCAGATGGGCTACAGCAGCAGAAGACCACACCAGATGCCACTCCTGTCAGCTAACAACAGGAAACTGAGGCTACAATTCACACAGGCTCACCAAAACTGGACAATAGAAGATTGGAAAAACGTTGCCTGGTCTGATGAGTCTGGATTTCTGCTGCCACATTCAGATGGTAGGGTCAGAATTTGGCGTCATGGATCCATCCTGCCTTGTATCAACGCTTCAGGCTGCTGGTGGTGGTGTAATGGTGTGGGGGAGATTTTCTTAGTACCAACTGAGCATGGTTTAAACACCACAGCCTACCTGAGTATTGTTGCTGACCGTGTCCGTCCCTTTATGACCACAGTGTACCCATCTTCTGATGGCTACTTCCAGCAGGATAACGCACCATGTCACAAAGCTCAAATCATCTCAAACTGGTTTCTTGAACATGACAATGAGTCACCAGATCTCAGTCCAATAGAGCACCTTTGGGATGTGGTGGAACGGGAGATTCTCATCATGGATGTGCAGCCGACAAATCTGCAGCAACTGTGTGATGTCATCATGTCAATATGGACCAAAATCTGTGAGGAATGTTTCCAGCACCTTGTTGAATCTATGACACCAAGAATTAAGGCAGTTCTGAAGGCAAAAGGGGTCCAACCCTGTACTAGCAAAGTGTACCTAATAAAGTGGCCGGTGAGTGTATCTTCCCCAAAACAACATGTTACACTGAAACAGAACATGTTGCTATTTAAATCTGTGCACATTTTGATACCAAGAGTTCAGGTTCCTTAACCAGTGACTGGTGATTTCTTTTAGTCTTATTAAGCTGTTGCTCCGAGGGATCTTTGTCTCATTCTGCTCTTTCAGTTGTCAGTCTGGTTGAACCATTGTACAGTGTTTTGTTCTCCATAGTGTGACTTTTCTGTGAAGCCTTCATACAGAGTAACGTGTATTTGAAATGAGGTGCATGGGAAAAAAGAGTCGTTCTCTCAGCCATCTGACTGTATCCTATCAAGCTTTTGTGGCAGGCGATTTAAACTGATAAAGGTCCAGTTTGTAGGATTCAGAGGGATATAGCGGCAGAAATGGAATATAATATAAGTATATTTTCCTCAGTATATAATCACCTGAAAATTAGAATGTTTGTTTGTTTGATACCCCAGAATGAGCTGTTTATATCTAAATATATATTATATCCAATATGGGCATAAAACAATGATGAAATAATAATCTCGCCCTCAGGTGTACACTGTAGCAACATTACGCTGTGACAGAAATTACTTTAAAATAAATCAGAACATTTCAAATAAAGTGTTTTTTTACTTTAAATCTCAGCAGTCTGGTGCGGAAGTTTGGTGAGAACAACTCTCACTAGTGCAAAGAACCCGGGCTGTAACCTAGGTAACAATGTTTGGATCACACAAGTCGGAAACAATCCTACGCAGCCACCACTGGAATCTAATTCCACTGTAACACTAATAACATTAGTGCAGCCTAATCTTTATGTACAACTGTCCAGAAATGCCAGGTTTAAACAGAATGGAGAGACATGCAGAAAAAAAGCTGCGCAGCATCTGAATGTTGATTTTGAATGTCAAGGTTATAAATGAAGCTCCGAGATATTTCTCGCTGCCCTAATAGAAACAGTGCATGGTGAGAGAAAGCAGGTGTGACATCAGACTGCGAGGCATCTTCTACAACTAACAAATACAAGAACATATGTTCAGAAAAAAGATCTTCCATTGAGGGAAAAAAGAAAACCACCCACATATGTGTGCTGTATCACTGTTGTAGAAGTGCACTGCCTTTGCTGTGGTTATGGTGGAGTGGCATCTCATTTTAGCTATTGAGATATGAAGTATATTATCAACCTCCGCAGCTCTTAAATACCACGCTCTATTTGCAATTCAGTGCCATTTTAATAGGCCTATAAAAAGTTACCAGCTCCAGTAGTAAATGATCTCTCCAGAGGAAAAAGTGTTGAGATTAGCTGCTTTGCTCCTCTCTCTGCCTCTCTCTGTCTTTCTCTGTCTCTCTCTGTCTCTCTGTCTCTCTCCAGCATCTCTTTGTGTTTTGGCTTTTCACTGCTGACTCAGTAATACTACATTTTAATTGAATATGTCGTAACCTTGCCTAACTCTCTGTCAGTCTGGCTCTGTTGTCCATGCTTTAATGGTAAACTAATTTAGATGTGAGCAGGTCTCAGTGGTTTATACATGGAGTACAACGTGGTATTCTTCCTTCTTGTAATTTGTGGGATCGTTTTCTTTGTGGTTTTATCTTTAACGTTAAGCAGTGATGGTGCATAAACATCAAATTTCAGAGATCTTTTATACCTATGTTTAAAATAACAATTTTGCCAATAGCTTATACCAATACCAATGTTTTCATATTGTCGTTTATTTTGTTTTTGTTGTTATATATTGCCCCTTTTGTGCCAGGGAAACGTGAAATCTAAATCAAATCAAATCAAACTTTATTTATATAGCACCTTTCATGCAGTCAGGCCGCCCAAAGTGCTTCACAGAGCAGGAGTAAAACAGCACAGAATAGTGAATACCTACACATAACAACAATAAACATTGAAATATTTGAAACTAGTCCATACCCATTGAGTGCACAGCTGCCCACGTACAGTTTCACATGGTGTGTGTTTGGGATACAGGTCATAGGAAATTGCAGATTAAATAGTCAACTGAACCCATTAAGAAGAGCAATGTATTCAGACAGAGTGTTTGTGAATTTGATAGTACCATTGCTTTATTGAAAGTGCAGTAGCACCATTGCCAATAGTGGGATAGTTAGTGGGCTAAAACTGTACGTTAGTAGTTGAGGTAGCACGTTGAAAGGCAGATAGGTAAAGTGTTTATATGTTGTATTGACTTAAAAGTGGGGCGCACTGGTAGTTCACATGGGAAAGGTGCGGCTAGCCCTTGTTGCAGCGGTGGGGGTTGGAATCCAGCCTTCGTTCTTTGCTGCATGTCTTCCTTGCTCTCTCTCTTTCCCATCCCTCCTGTCATGCTTCAATGTCCTGTCAAATATCTCAGATTATGTGTGGTCATATGCCTACAAAGTTGCGTGGTGATGGGTGAAACCCTTGAGATGTTATACACCTTTATGTGATGAGCCACGCCCTCCGCAATATTCATTGTCTTATAGAAGCTCAGTTTTAGTAAGTTTTCCAACTTTTGCCAAGAGGGAACTTTAGATATTGGTCCCTAGATTATGTTCACCCAGTTTCATGCAGATCGCTCAAACTTCCTAGGAAGAGATCCATTTGAAGTGTTTTTCAAAAAATTCAAAATGGTGGAAAATCTATATAACCGGAAGTTATGGGTTCTTGAGGCAAATTTGTTCCTCATGAGGAGAGGCATCTCTGTGCAAAGTTTCATGTCTCTAAGACATACGAGGCATGAGATATGCCCATTCAAAGTTTGCAATTTCAGTCGGTTGCTATAGCGCCCCCCTTTGGCCAATTGATGTAATATTGCTTCATTGGCATCCTCCCATGACCCTCTACCACTGTGCCAAATTTCACATGGATTGACCAAGTCAGTGAAGAGAAAAACGTGGAACAGACACACACACAGACAGAGTTTTTGTCATTATATAGTAAGATAAATTACATTCAAAACAAACTATAAAACTATAAAAAAAACTAACTGTTTTAAAGTAAGGAAGCCCTTCATTCCTGTCTTTGAATGAGCACAAAATCAATCTTACAAATTTATGAAACAACCTTTAAAATAACCGTTTACATTAAAAAAAACATCTTTTAAGAAAATAGCTTCAAAAGCCTTTTCACTATCTGTAGTGTCACGATTCCCTCACTAATATCTACTTTATATTGCTGTGAAAACATCAACAAATCTTTCAAACAGCTGTATTTATTCAAGTTTCTCACCAAAAGCTACATTTTATACAAGATTACAGTGAACACATTGTGACAAAGTTGTAATTAACCTTCGCCTAATATTTAATTTTACTGAATAGAGCTTGAATGCATCACAGTGTTACAGTGTGATGCGTTCCCTGAAGGTGACTGCTCATTAACATCGTCCACTGCCATCAGTAACTGTCATCTTATTTTCAGATAGGCTGATGGCAGTCAACAAGGCCAATGCTGACTATCATCGATGTTCAGCCGATAAACTGGTGCATCCCTATGTAAAAGTCTCACATGCTGTGATTCTGGTCTTTATTTTGAGTCTTTGAACAGCAAATTTAAAAGCTCTAATCGACTGTTGTGTTGGTTTAATCACTACTGTGGTGCATCAGTCAGAGACAAAGTGGCACTATGGATGTTCATTTGTATAAAAATGTCAAAATGATTAAGTCGCTGTTGTAAATAACTGGAACTTGTTTTTTGTTTCGTTCTCAGGGGGCCATTCTTACTACCATGCTGGTTTCTCGAAATTTCTCTGGTAAGTGTTGCCTGGACAAAATTCCTCTGTTCCTCATTACTGAAAATCTACCATTCATATCAGTCAATATGTAGTTTATATGAAGAAGCTTACACAGGCATTTTATTGTTTGCATGCCACTTTTATCTCTGTTTGCAAATACTTAAGTAGCAGGAGACTAAAATGTGTGTTGAATAGAAGCTTAACTGTCAGTTTGGTTCTGAGGAACATGTCACCATTTTGGATGACATTGGCTCTTTAACGTGATACCTCATCCAAAACCAGACTTAGCCAATGTAGCAGGAGTGAATCCAAGCTGATAACTGACTTTTTTCACTGAGAAGAAGCAACTACAAACCTTTTCAGCCACATTTAAAGCCTACAGGGATCAGTATTTGGCACTCTGAAGTTAAATTTTGTGAGAAGTATCACTTTAGTATCACTTTAAAGCATGATTTGAATACCAGACTTTTTTTGGTAACTTTTTTCCTATTTGATGTTCAATTCTCCCAAAATGGTGGCATGTGTCTTGTTAACATCGGTAACACTAAACATTCAGTGACAGACCTATTTGTCTCCTTTATACAAATAGATATATATTTATTTAAAGTTTTGCACATTTTCATTTCATCTCAGTGCAACTTCAGTGTTTCCCTTTTCTCTCAAGTGTTAATCTAATAAGATGGTTGACGGCTGTTCAAATGAATTAAGGTGACTTTTAGACAAAATCTTCGCGTTGAGGTTTGGTGACTCAAAAGCTTTGATATTCATGGTAACAAGATAGCAAAGAACAGTTCTAGAGTTTCACTTTTATCTTACCAGTACTTTCATTACAATGGAGTGATACGGGAATGACGTTTATTTGTAGGCCGGCCTGGAAGTTAACGTCACCCTGGTTCCCTCGACAAAATGCCTATGGGAATTTTCCTTTGGATTTTAGATTAATTCATTAATTCGATAATTTTCCGTAATCACTTATCCTGGAGCCTGTCCCAGCTGACATTGGGTGAGGTCACCAGACTATCACAGCGCTGACACCTAAGCCCCTTTTACACTGCCAGATTTTCCACAAATGTTAGTCCGTTTTGCCGGCAAGCTGCGAGCGTTCATACACACAGAGCCGGATTGGCAAGTTGATCCAAGGTGCCCAATTTTCCGCCTCGTAGGGTAGACATATTGGCGGAACCTTTTATTTTAAACAGACCAAGGCGGCCTTCCGCAACGAGAGGGGCTGTTGAAGACTTGTGGGAGGGGCTGTTGATGATGCTGCACGTGCGAGCCACTGGCGGTGGACTAACAGGAAACAGCTGATAGCAGGAATGAGCAGCTAGTAGCAAGAGGGAAACGCAAACTTGACAGACACTGTAAAGATGAGCAACTGGGGAGACAAAGATTAACCGTCAGATGACGGGGACGGTGAAGAACGGGCCAACTTACGGGAGAATCACCGAAGGACTGACCAGCCGTGGCTTCCCTCCCACGTCACTGTTTACGTCACACGCTGAGCTACATGTTTTGTTACTTGCTCACGCCCCCCATTGCCCCGAAAAAGGCGCATTCTGTATAAACAAAAGTAGGTAGGTGGCATTTTGCTGCACTCCCTGATTTTGTTTTCATACTGCCAATGCTGAAAGAAGACTGATTGGGCTTTCCTGCAAATTTGCACAATTCCTATCTAAAAAGGGCTATAGAGACAGACAACCATTCACACTCACATTCACACCTACGGACAATTTAGAGTCACCAATTAACCTGCATGTCTTTGGACTGTGGGAGGAAGCTGGAGTACCTGGAGAAAACCCACACTGACACGGGGAGAACATGCAAACTCTGCACAGAACCCACCCTGGGTTCGAACCAGGAACCCTCTTGCTGTGAGGCGACAGTGCTAACCACTGCACCACCATAGATTAGATTGATGCAGAAAACAAGCTCTTTAGCAAACAAAAGTTTATGAAACTCACACATTTTGTTAAGCAAGATATGTTCACAAATTAACACCACTTAGGATTTTTTGAGTCGAAATGCAATCGCGTGACTGTAAAGCTGCAACTTTTTACGACATGTAAAAGCTTCAATATTTAAGATTTGGCATAAAACAAAACATGAATGTCTCTTAAGCTTGTATTAATAACAGACAAAGAAAAAAACATTAAAAAACACAAAAACATTGACTTTGAGACGAGGGAACCAGAAGTGCTAAAAAGCGAACTCATTTTAAGGTTTTTGGACTCATTCCTGCAGAACTCTATTTAGGCCTTTGCACAATGGATGCGTTTTTTTAATTGTTACATACTGTAGAAACCTTGCACACAGATTCTAATGTGTGTTATTGTTTTATTTGGTGCGAAAATTAGCAATACGTGTCGAAATGAAAAGACACATTTCCTCCTTTGCCTCTCTCCACTGGAGTTACCTATCTGGCTGTCACCACTCACTTCCTGGCGATGTCTACAATGAAGAGAAAGTTCTCAGCTGACCACACCTTCATACTTAACAATTATCCTAATGTCCTGACTGTGCGGAAGTTCAACATGCCAGACCATTTTAAACACTTGGAGGTGTTTTAACAATAAGTGAGCCGTGTGTTGTTTTGCTGTAACATTTGGGGAAACACTGAATTTGACCAGCAAGCTGTGGATGTGTTTGTGTCTGTGTACTTGTCCTTGTATCTATGTATATCTCTGTAACAGATGACACTTATAAATCTATGTTATAATCTAAGGTGGACAGTATATTTAGCACATCTGTACCTCCAACCTCTTTAGACACTTTCACAAATGACCTCCTTTAGCTGGGACCTCTTTTTTCCTAACTTATCATATAGATGGTGAGATCCAAAGATTCCAGTATCTGTCAACAAAAACAGATTTATCAGTTTCACTCAATGAGGCATTTTCAGCACTGTTGTGGTCAGTGAAATGAAAATGGAAAGAGCTCATTGTCGATGAATGATTTTTCCAGAGAGCATGCAGTAGGAAGAAAAATTCAGAAATTGTATGGATTGAGGTTTGAATGCAGCCAGACATGGGTAGAGCTAATTTAGAAGATTCATATGAGCGACTGACATCGAACTATGACAGTGACATGTTTTCAGGAGTAAATCGTGGTTTTTATTTTTTCATAATTGTTGCACTTTCCGTAAATAAAACCACACCCACTGAGTCTGTGTTCATGTACAGTATGTGTGTGTTTTGCATATATAGATGTGAGTGACGTTAGCGTGTGTGTGTGTGTGTGTGTGTGTGTGTGCCAGCATGCTGCTTCAGAACACATGACTCACAGCAGCAACTCTGACACTGTAAGCTTTACAATGGGAAACGGTCTGAACGCCAACTAAACAACCACTCAGCTCTTTAACTCCCACTCACACACGCACACGCTGACCCTGGTGTGTGGCCCGCCTGGCTGTGTCACGTTCTTAAACATATTTTCCTCCTCACTCTCTTTCCTCTTCTCAGGAAACAGTACTCCTACCATTATAGGTGTGAGGTCATCAGGTGGATGAGTCAGAGAGAGAATGAGGAATAAATAAAAAGTGAAAAAAAGGCCTTCAGTTAAAGATGTGGTTCCAGAATTCTGGGAAAATTCAAGATGGGAACTTTCCATGGGAATTAATGTGAATTTATAGGAAACACCAGGAAATAAGCAGATATAAGTATAAGTTCCCTAAATCAACAATTTAGTTGAGTTGAATTAAATGAGTTGACTCATTAAACCCTTTAAAAACCTGGAGCGACGTCACTTTTCTTGTGCTGCTTTCAGACACCTCTCGCAAGTATTTAAACTTTAAATGTTTAGCAGTTCAGCAGCAAAAACACAGGGGAAAAGGCAATGAGCAACTTGGTAAGAAATGTCCCTGAAATTGCAAAATAATAGTAGATTTAGAATTTTTTTTTTTTTTTTAAACTAGAAAGAAAAAAGAAAAAAGCTTGGGAAAAAACGGTATTTATTATAATAATAATAATAATAATAATAATAATAATAATAATTATTATTATTATTATTATTATTATTATTATTATTAAATATTTAAGATTATGGTACAGATTTTTATTTTTTATTTTATTTTATTTATTTATTTATTTATTTTTTCAGGGTTTTTTTGCAGGTTTTCCAGGTCATCTCCTTGTTTGCTTTTTATCTTTTTTAAAACTAATTTTCTTGTTTTGAATTTTCTCATTTTTACTCATTTCTTGCAATTTTCTTGGGTCATTTCGTCTTTCGTTGCTCAGTGCCTTCTTCCCATGTTTTCGAAAGACAACAAGCCAATTTGCTCAGGTTTCAAAGGGTTAACATTTTATTAAACGACTCAATTGTCCTCTCTCCAAAAAGTAATTTTCACTCTCAGGCCTCCGTATCTTCTTCATGGACTTTCTCGATGTGAGACTCTGATGCCTCATCTTCACTGTCCAAGCTGAATTCAAATTTAACGGGATGCTGGTAAATTATCTGTACAAGTGATGAAAGAGTGAACTACTGAATGCAGTTCTAGGGCTGAATGATTTTGGAAAAACATCCAACAGCGATTACTTTGATTTGTATTGACACTGAGCAAAAATGCATTGAAATGATCATGGTTTAATTTTTTTTTTAGATTAATTCATTTTGTTTTTTATTTTATTTTATTTTATTCTTTTTTTTATTTTATTTTATTTATTTTATTTTTATATTTTATTTTTATTTTGTGAGGGTCTTTACCAAACAAAGGTTTTTTTTTTCTTAAATCTGAAGAATTCATTTTTGCAGCCGCACATCGCTGCAGCACATTGATACTTCAGGTCATTAATGTATCATCATGTAGAATCAATCATTATGTAGAATCATGTAGATTTGGATAATGCATTACTCCATTTTGTGATTTAGAAAAAAAAATTGATTTATATTGCCACTGAGCAAAAATGCATTGAAATGATCATGGTGTAATTTATTTTTTAGATTAATTCATTTTGTTTTTTATTTTATTTTATT